AGCATCTTGTAGCCCTCGGCCTGCAGGCGCGAGTAGTCAGCTCCTGCGACACATCGTTACCTTCTCGAGGTCGGAGAGCATCTTGTAGCCCTCGGCCTGCAGGCGCGAGTAGTCAGCTCCTGCGACACATCGTTACCTTCTCGAGGTCGGAGAGCATCTTGTAGCCCTCGGCCTGCAGGCGCGAGTAGTCAGCTCCTGCGACACATCGTTACCTTCTCGAGGTCGGAGAGCATCTTGTAGCCCTCGGCCTGCAGGCGCGAGTAGTCAGCTCCTGCGACACATCGTTACCTTCTCGAGGTCGGAGAGCATCTTGTAGCCCTCGGCCTGCAGGCGCGAGTAGTCAGCTCCTGCGACACATCGTTACCTTCTCGAGGTCGGAGAGCATCTTGTAGCCCTCGGCCTGCAGGCGCGAGTAGTCAGCTCCTGCGACACATCGTTACCTTCTCGAGGTCGGAGAGCATCTTGTAGCCCTCGGCCTGCAGGCGCGAGTAGTCAGCTCCTGCGACACATCGTTACCTTCTCGAGGTCGGAGAGCATCTTGTAGCCCTCGGCCTGCAGGCGCGAGTAGTCAGCTCCTGCGACACATCGTTACCTTCTCGAGGTCGGAGAGCATCTTGTAGCCCTCGGCCTGCAGGCGCGAGTAGTCAGCTCCTGCGACACATCGTTACCTTCTCGAGGTCGGAGAGCATCTTGTAGCCCTCGGCCTGCAGGCGCGAGTAGTCAGCTCCTGCGACACATCGTTACCTTCTCGAGGTCGGAGAGCATCTTGTAGCCCTCGGCCTGCAGGCGCGAGTAGTCAGCTCCTGCGACACATCGTTACCTTCTCGAGGTCGGAGAGCATCTTGTAGCCCTCGGCCTGCAGGCGCGAGTAGTCAGCTCCTGCGACACATCGTTACCTTCTCGAGGTCGGAGAGCATCTTGTAGCCCTCGGCCTGCAGGCGCGAGTAGTCAGCTCCTGCGACACATCGTTACCTTCTCGAGGTCGGAGAGCATCTTGTAGCCCTCGGCCTGCAGGCGCGAGTAGTCAGCTCCTGCGACACATCGTTACCTTCTCGAGGTCGGAGAGCATCTTGTAGCCCTCGGCCTGCAGGCGCGAGTAGTCAGCTCCTGCGACACATCGTTACCTTCTCGAGGTCGGAGAGCATCTTGTAGCCCTCGGCCTGCAGGCGCGAGTAGTCAGCTCCTGCGACACATCGTTACCTTCTCGAGGTCGGAGAGCATCTTGTAGCCCTCGGCCTGCAGGCGCGAGTAGTCAGCTCCTGCGACACATCGTTACCTTCTCGAGGTCGGAGAGCATCTTGTAGCCCTCGGCCTGCAGGCGCGAGTAGTCAGCTCCTGCGACACATCGTTACCTTCTCGAGGTCGGAGAGCATCTTGTAGCCCTCGGCCTGCAGGCGCGAGTAGTCAGCTCCTGCGACACATCGTTACCTTCTCGAGGTCGGAGAGCATCTTGTAGCCCTCGGCCTGCAGGCGCGAGTAGTCAGCTCCTGCGACACATCGTTACCTTCTCGAGGTCGGAGAGCATCTTGTAGCCCTCGGCCTGCAGGCGCGAGTAGTCAGCTCCTGCGACACATCGTTACCTTCTCGAGGTCGGAGAGCATCTTGTAGCCCTCGGCCTGCAGGCGCGAGTAGTCAGCTCCTGCGACACATCGTTACCTTCTCGAGGTCGGAGAGCATCTTGTAGCCCTCGGCCTGCAGGCGCGAGTAGTCAGCTCCTGCGACACATCGTTACCTTCTCGAGGTCGGAGAGCATCTTGTAGCCCTCGGCCTGCAGGCGCGAGTAGTCAGCTCCTGCGACACATCGTTACCTTCTCGAGGTCGGAGAGCATCTTGTAGCCCTCGGCCTGCAGGCGCGAGTAGTCAGCTCCTGCGACACATCGTTACCTTCTCGAGGTCGGAGAGCATCTTGTAGCCCTCGGCCTGCAGGCGCGAGTAGTCAGCTCCTGCGACACATCGTTACCTTCTCGAGGTCGGAGAGCATCTTGTAGCCCTCGGCCTGCAGGCGCGAGTAGTCAGCTCCTGCGACACATCGTTACCTTCTCGAGGTCGGAGAGCATCTTGTAGCCCTCGGCCTGCAGGCGCGAGTAGTCAGCTCCTGCGACACATCGTTACCTTCTCGAGGTCGGAGAGCATCTTGTAGCCCTCGGCCTGCAGGCGCGAGTAGTCAGCTCCTGCGACACATCGTTACCTTCTCGAGGTCGGAGAGCATCTTGTAGCCCTCGGCCTGCAGGCGCGAGTAGTCAGCTCCTGCGACACATCGTTACCTTCTCGAGGTCGGAGAGCATCTTGTAGCCCTCGGCCTGCAGGCGCGAGTAGTCAGCTCCTGCGACACATCGTTACCTTCTCGAGGTCGGAGAGCATCTTGTAGCCCTCGGCCTGCAGGCGCGAGTAGTCAGCTCCTGCGACACATCGTTACCTTCTCGAGGTCGGAGAGCATCTTGTAGCCCTCGGCCTGCAGGCGCGAGTAGTCAGCTCCTGCGACACATCGTTACCTTCTCGAGGTCGGAGAGCATCTTGTAGCCCTCGGCCTGCAGGCGCGAGTAGTCAGCTCCTGCGACACATCGTTACCTTCTCGAGGTCGGAGAGCATCTTGTAGCCCTCGGCCTGCAGGCGCGAGTAGTCAGCTCCTGCGACACATCGTTACCTTCTCGAGGTCGGAGAGCATCTTGTAGCCCTCGGCCTGCAGGCGCGAGTAGTCAGCTCCTGCGACACATCGTTACCTTCTCGAGGTCGGAGAGCATCTTGTAGCCCTCGGCCTGCAGGCGCGAGTAGTCAGCTCCTGCGACACATCGTTACCTTCTCGAGGTCGGAGAGCATCTTGTAGCCCTCGGCCTGCAGGCGCGAGTAGTCAGCTCCTGCGACACATCGTTACCTTCTCGAGGTCGGAGAGCATCTTGTAGCCCTCGGCCTGCAGGCGCGAGTAGTCAGCTCCTGCGACACATCGTTACCTTCTCGAGGTCGGAGAGCATCTTGTAGCCCTCGGCCTGCAGGCGCGAGTAGTCAGCTCCTGCGACACATCGTTACCTTCTCGAGGTCGGAGAGCATCTTGTAGCCCTCGGCCTGCAGGCGCGAGTAGTCAGCTCCTGCGACACATCGTTACCTTCTCGAGGTCGGAGAGCATCTTGTAGCCCTCGGCCTGCAGGCGCGAGTAGTCAGCTCCTGCGACACATCGTTACCTTCTCGAGGTCGGAGAGCATCTTGTAGCCCTCGGCCTGCAGGCGCGAGTAGTCAGCTCCTGCGACACATCGTTACCTTCTCGAGGTCGGAGAGCATCTTGTAGCCCTCGGCCTGCAGGCGCGAGTAGTCAGCTCCTGCGACACATCGTTACCTTCTCGAGGTCGGAGAGCATCTTGTAGCCCTCGGCCTGCAGGCGCGAGTAGTCAGCTCCTGCGACACATCGTTACCTTCTCGAGGTCGGAGAGCATCTTGTAGCCCTCGGCCTGCAGGCGCGAGTAGTCAGCTCCTGCGACACATCGTTACCTTCTCGAGGTCGGAGAGCATCTTGTAGCCCTCGGCCTGCAGGCGCGAGTAGTCAGCTCCTGCGACACATCGTTACCTTCTCGAGGTCGGAGAGCATCTTGTAGCCCTCGGCCTGCAGGCGCGAGTAGTCAGCTCCTGCGACACATCGTTACCTTCTCGAGGTCGGAGAGCATCTTGTAGCCCTCGGCCTGCAGGCGCGAGTAGTCAGCTCCTGCGACACATCGTTACCTTCTCGAGGTCGGAGAGCATCTTGTAGCCCTCGGCCTGCAGGCGCGAGTAGTCAGCTCCTGCGACACATCGTTACCTTCTCGAGGTCGGAGAGCATCTTGTAGCCCTCGGCCTGCAGGCGCGAGTAGTCAGCTCCTGCGACACATCGTTACCTTCTCGAGGTCGGAGAGCATCTTGTAGCCCTCGGCCTGCAGGCGCGAGTAGTCAGCTCCTGCGACACATCGTTACCTTCTCGAGGTCGGAGAGCATCTTGTAGCCCTCGGCCTGCAGGCGCGAGTAGTCAGCTCCTGCGACACATCGTTACCTTCTCGAGGTCGGAGAGCATCTTGTAGCCCTCGGCCTGCAGGCGCGAGTAGTCAGCTCCTGCGACACATCGTTACCTTCTCGAGGTCGGAGAGCATCTTGTAGCCCTCGGCCTGCAGGCGCGAGTAGTCAGCTCCTGCGACACATCGTTACCTTCTCGAGGTCGGAGAGCATCTTGTAGCCCTCGGCCTGCAGGCGCGAGTAGTCAGCTCCTGCGACACATCGTTACCTTCTCGAGGTCGGAGAGCATCTTGTAGCCCTCGGCCTGCAGGCGCGAGTAGTCAGCTCCTGCGACACATCGTTACCTTCTCGAGGTCGGAGAGCATCTTGTAGCCCTCGGCCTGCAGGCGCGAGTAGTCAGCTCCTGCGACACATCGTTACCTTCTCGAGGTCGGAGAGCATCTTGTAGCCCTCGGCCTGCAGGCGCGAGTAGTCAGCTCCTGCGACACATCGTTACCTTCTCGAGGTCGGAGAGCATCTTGTAGCCCTCGGCCTGCAGGCGCGAGTAGTCAGCTCCTGCGACACATCGTTACCTTCTCGAGGTCGGAGAGCATCTTGTAGCCCTCGGCCTGCAGGCGCGAGTAGTCAGCTCCTGCGACACATCGTTACCTTCTCGAGGTCGGAGAGCATCTTGTAGCCCTCGGCCTGCAGGCGCGAGTAGTCAGCTCCTGCGACACATCGTTACCTTCTCGAGGTCGGAGAGCATCTTGTAGCCCTCGGCCTGCAGGCGCGAGTAGTCAGCTCCTGCGACACATCGTTACCTTCTCGAGGTCGGAGAGCATCTTGTAGCCCTCGGCCTGCAGGCGCGAGTAGTCAGCTCCTGCGACACATCGTTACCTTCTCGAGGTCGGAGAGCATCTTGTAGCCCTCGGCCTGCAGGCGCGAGTAGTCAGCTCCTGCGACACATCGTTACCTTCTCGAGGTCGGAGAGCATCTTGTAGCCCTCGGCCTGCAGGCGCGAGTAGTCAGCTCCTGCGACACATCGTTACCTTCTCGAGGTCGGAGAGCATCTTGTAGCCCTCGGCCTGCAGGCGCGAGTAGGGGCGCACGCCGGCGTCGGGCGGCAGGTAGCGCGCCGCGCGCCGCTTCGTCACCTCCTCCGACAGATCCGCCGCCCTGCGACACACGTCACACCACACCACTTTGATATTTTTTTTTATATACATACTTATAATTATCCACAAAGTAGGAATGTCTCCAGTATCGTGGAAACACAAGTCGTTAGTGTATGTAATGGATGCCATACACGTTCCAGCTTACCGTCAAGTTTACCGCGCGCTTGAAGCGGCATCCGGTAAACTTGACGGTGTATGGCTATCAGTGTGCATGATAAATCTACTTGAAGCAAAAATTGAATTTCGATTCTGCCGACTTGATCAAGCTTGACATGTAAACTTGAACGTATGTATGAACGGTCAAGTATGCATGACGTTAGTCGGAGCAATAAGCGAGAAACGCCGTGGTTTCAACTAGTGTGGCATCATGTAAACTTAACGGCGAACTTTAACGTGAGTGGTCTGTATGGATGTACAGCAAACTGGACGCCGCTTCAAGCGCGCTGCAAACTTGACGATAAACTGGATCATGTATGGCATCCATAACACTAGGTGTGGCCGTGGAGCGGATAAAAAGGGGCAGAGTTATTTAATTATTTAAATTTATAACATAACTTTTTAAGTTAGAACGCCACAATTCAACTTGGAAATCGTTCCACGTACATATACTTCTTCTAAAGGTGTCAAAAATCGACATCATGCGGGAAATGGACGACAGGCCAAGTCATGAGACTTATCAGAAAAATAAAATAAAAAAATTAAGTTTGTCACTTTTAGCCCACCTAAGTATTCAAAGTTGAAAAAAAAATTACTTTGCCCAATTTTAACTGACTGTACTGAAAAAAAAATGTAATACGATAGTTTAGCAAGTAACCTTTAAAGTAGGACCATTTGAAAGCGTATATATAAACAATTCATAGCTGAAAATCTGATAAGATTTGTCAATCTAGGAGCTGAGTTATTGTAAAATAAGTAAAAGTGAGATGAGGTATTACCTACACTGTAACAGGTGATTTTTGTTACAGTGTAGGTAATACCTATGTACTATGTTTATATTTCTTTTTTCTATAAACGAATAATATAATTTATTTCCAAATGAATATATCATTCAAAGTAAATAATATAATTTTAATGAAACCTTGCAAGCTTTTTCATTTTATTTTGTGGATCGGAATAAATATAATATCTTTTATATTAATACAATTGATTTTCTAACTTATTTGTTATTTTATTGTTTTTTCGAATTCTAGGTTGTAAAAAGAGCTACTTTTGTGTATTCTACTTTAGAAAAATATAGGCAATTTTTTACAGCATAAAATTAGTTAACTTCAGGTCCAAAAATCCCATTCTCCCTTCCTTATATTTTTGTTTTAAATCATAGATTGATCCGAATAAATATAATATCTTTTGTATTAATACAATTGATTTTCGAACTTACTTGTTATTTTATTGTTTTTTCGAATTCTAGATTGTAATAAGGGCTACTTTTGTGTATTCTACTTTAGAAAAATATAGGCAATTTTTTACAGCATAAAATTAGTTAACTTCAGGTCCAAAAATCCCATTCTCCCTTTCTTAAATTTTTGTTTTAAATCATAGATTGCTCTTATGGCCCTCTTAAACAAATATAATTTCAGTGTCAGTCACGTGTCCCCATAGCAAAATACCACACGACATTATGCTATGGAAATAGCTAAAGTAAACAAGTCTAGCTATTTCCACACTGATAAGATTTCTAATCTTTTTTACAGCATATGCTGCAGAACTAAGTTTATATGGAGGCTCCATTGAAGCTTCGCATCTAGTGTTAAACCAAGAAAAATGGTGGTATCGACAAGATTCAGTTCCTCCCCATTTAAAATTACATTATTTAATTTTTTGACATTCGGAGTCATATATTTCATACATTTCGTTTTAGTGCCATTTGAATGCAAGTTATTAAGATTATTCAATTTACTAATTTAAATATAGCATTATTTACTTCGTCATATTTTAATAATTGTCGTTCTAATTTGAAAATTAATGAAGTATTATCAGCAAATAATACTATATTATGGTTATCCCCTACTATGTAAGGTAAGTCATTAATGTACACAAGAAACAGAAAGGGGCCGAGAATTAAGCCTTGAGGCACGCCCATTTGTACCATCGACCTGGAAGACCTCATACTATTAATGACAACTTTTTGCGTTCTGTTACTTGAATACGAAACAATTAATTAAAGAGTATTGCTTCCTACATCGTAGTGTTGTAGTTTCCTGATTAATGTGTCATGGTGACCATAATCGAAGGCTTTGGATAGGTTTACAAAATATACCTAAAGCATCCTATGAATTCTCCGATGCATTGAAAATATATTTAATCAGCTCAACACCAGCATCAGTTGTCGAGCGACCCCTTGTGAAACTGAATTAATTTTTATGAAGTTAACTATTTACATTAAAATTTTTTAACATTTGATCAAGAATAATTTTTTCAAAAATCTTTCTAAGTGTTGGCAATACAGAAATTGGTCTAAATTAGCGGGGTCTAATGTACTACCAGATTTAAATAAAGGTATTACTTTACTATGCTTCATTAAATCAGGAAACATGCCATATTCGATACTAGTATTAAAAATAATAGCTAGTTGAGGCGCAATTATATCTATTATGACGCAATAACTTTAACGGAAATCCCCCACAGATCTGCAGTTTTCTTAATATCAATAGTTTTAAAATATTTTAAAATATCTTTTGATGATATTTTATGAAATGTAAAATTCTTTGTACATGCATTTACATTTTGTTTAAGTAATGTATAATTTATAAGCATATTTAGAAGTAACAGTTTAATTGATTTGCTGAATTCCAAAAATGACGGGGAAGCTTTGAAGTAAGCCAACCCACCAACCACGGTCTCTTAAGAACATGTTCGAAAAGTTGAAAAACTCATTCAGGTAAGAATATCACAGAGAGAAAAATATCCTCGGTCTAAATAACTTTCAACCGAGTATTAAAAACAAAGTAATTCCTTTTAATCACTGTTATAATTTAATTTAATATTACAGCAAAAATTATGCAAAATAACACAATTCGTGCATGACATATGTTTAAGGTGCAAGAGAGAAACCATGCAATATATCTATATATAAAAACGCAAACAAGGAGGTACAACAAGGAATGTGACCGATCACCTCTTGACGGCGTCAAACGAGCCAGACGCGAAGTCCACGACTCCAGCGGTGGGGCGCGCCACCAGTCCCACGGCGCCCATGCCCAGTCCCTTGAAGAAACCCTCCACTCCGTGATCACGCGCGCCCTCAAAAGGCTTCGTGAACACCCCGGTTACGCCGTCTACCAAGCCCTGAGTTTTAACACCAATTTACGTTCAGTCAACAACAGTTATAGAAAAGCACATAACAGTAGCAATATCTTAAGAACAAAGAAAATGATGTATTACAAACATGTTAAAGTATAATATAAAGACGTTACTAAGTAAAATTTACAGCAAAATCATTGCATACCATAACGAGACCCTTTCCGCTTCTTGCAAGTCCTTCTTGCAAATTTGCAGGTGGTTTGTTGATGTTATCTCTTCGACGGCGTTGGTAATCCTACAAAAATTGATAACCATTAGTTATAATTGAAAAATTTGAGATTAAAAAAGATTAAGTTGCAGAATATAAATTAGGCATAAAAAACTACGATTAATTTAAAAAAAAATGGGAGGCAAAAATGTATACATACTAGTTGATTTAAACGTCGTGTTGCTGTTGATTTGCATAATTACCTAATTTAGTGTTATCGCGTATTTAGTGTTTCATTAATGGTACATAATTTCGAGGGTAATTCCTAACACACGCCGCGATTAGATTGCATTTAATAATTGCCACATTATAAAATGAAGTTACAGTGTCTGTGTGACATCGGAGGACGAAGGGGTACTTTGTCGAGCGAGAGTGCAGCGAGGCCGTGCCCCATAGCGCCGGTGATGCGCGACATGGCACCCGCCGCGCCGCCAACTGCGTGCCCCACCAGCGAGCGCACGCCCAGCAGCAGTCCCTCCGCGAACTTGCAGTATGTATGTGACACATGCGTGGTGCGAGGTGCGGTACCTTGTCGAGCGAGAGTGCAGCGAGGCCGTGCCCCATAGCGCCGGTGATGCGCGACATGGCACCCGCCGCGCCGCCAACTGCGTGCCCCACCAGCGAGCGCACGCCCAGCAGCAGTCCCCCCGCGAAGTTGCAGTGTGTATGTGACACATGCCTGGTGCGAGGTGCGGTACCTTGTCGAGCGAGAGTGCAGCGAGGGCGTGCCCCATAGCGCCGGTGATGCGCGACATGGCACCCGCCGCGCCGCCAACTGCGTGCCCCACCAGCGAGCGCACGCCCAGCAGCAGTCCCCCCGCGAACTTGCAGTGTGTATGTGACACATGCCTGGTGCGAGGTGCGGTACCTTGTCGAGCGAGAGTGCAGCGAGGCCGTGCCCCATAGCGCCGGTGATGCGCGACATGGCACCCGCCGCGCCGCCAACTGCGTGCCCCACCAGCGAGCGCACGCCCAGCAGCAGTCCCTCCGCGAACTTGCAGTGTGTATGTGACACATGCCTGGTGCGAGGTGCGGTACCTTGTCGAGCGAGAGTGCAGCGAGGCCGTGCCCCATAGCACCGGTGATGCGCGACATGGCACCCGCCGCGCCGCCAACTGCGTGCCCCACCAGCGAGCGCACGCCCAGCAGCAGTCCCTCCGCGAACTTGCAGTGTGTATGTGACACATGCGTGGTGCGAGGTGCGGTACCTTGTCGAGCGAGAGTGCGGCGAGGCCGTGCCCCATGGCGCCGGTGATGCGCGACATGGCGCCCGCCGCACCGCCAACCGTGTGCCCCACCAGCGAGCGCACGCCCAGCAGCAGCCCCTCCGCGAACTCGCCCGGCCCCTGGATCGCGCCCTGCGCAATAACACCACCACACACATTACTTGCTGTAATACACCTCTATTCATACTGCTAGTCGGTCCCTGCGCCCTTAGTACATTGCGTTTCGTTCATCATCGGCAAGAATTACAGAACTTTATCAGCCAGCACACAAGGCACACAAACACACAAAAGGCTTCAAAAGCACGGTGATAAAATGAAAACGATAGAAGAATAAATAAAAGAAGTTGAGTTTAAAACTGAAACGCTTGAAGACAGACTCACAACAACACCGATTGCCGCCTTCAAGCACTCTGGAGATTTTCAAAAAATGAAAATCAGTCAGAATACCTCGGTCTAGGTTACAACGGCGCCAACATGAGACAAATGTGATTTACCATGCTTCGACGGGACATCATCATGGACTGCTTACAAGTATCAGTTTGACATCCTTTGCAAAGTCAGTGGCTGTAAAAAGGCGCACGTCAGGCTCGATTGTTCGAAAGAAAAGAGAAATAGTTTCACAAACTTAAGGATTCCATTTGAGGAGGGGCATTCATAGGGGCACACATAATGTTATAGCAAATATCCTAGATGCGGCGTACCTTGGCTACCCTGGGTACACATTGGAGCATAATTTCCATCAGCGCGCCGGAGTCCGTGTTTACGTCCGCAACGACATTTGCTGTAAGCGTCTCCGTCACCTTGAAGACCCCACTTTCTCTACGATCTGGATATTAATAGACACAGGAACGGATAAAATTATTTATTCTTGTGTCTACCGATCGTACAGCGGTGACCGGGAAACAACCAGGCTATTTGAACACCTCAGTGAAGCCTCTGATGTGGCTCTAAATCGGTACCCTAATGCACAGTTGGTTTTTCTGGGGGAATTTAATGCCTGTGATCAGGACTGGCTGTTCCCATACCAGAAGATCGACCACGCTGAGAGAGAGGCGTGGAATTTTGCCTTGTCACTGGGCATAGATTACCTCCTAATAGATTCCGCATACAGGGCCACAAACGCGCGCAACACATACTTGCTGTAGCTAGCATACGAAGTGAAGCTAAGAATCACAACATCAGTTGCCTCAGTTGCTCATCAGTAGCCTACGGATCACAAACCAAGTTTGTGATCCGTAGGCACGTCCGAGTTCTTGACAATTTAAAAATAGTTTTGTATCTAAAATACATTACAAATGGCTTCCTGTGCAGTAAAATGGTGTGACAAGTCAGCTAAGTCATCCAGTTATCAAAAAGATGGCATAAATTTTAATTGGTAAGTAAATTCTATTCTTATCACGTTAACCTATTTCAAATGCACCGGAGATCAACTTATACTGGTATATTAATGGTGCAAAGTGATAACAATTAAGCACCCGTTGATGTCTTTTTGAAATGTCCCTTTCACTCGTTATGTAAATTACAATAGTTGTCTTTGTCTGACAACAGCACGTGTATCGATAGTGTTGTGATTTTTAAGTCGATATTTGTTTGGTCATCGTTTAATAATTTTTTTCGAAGTCATATTATTTTATAAAAATAGTGACGTATCATTGTGGTACCTATATGTTATAGGTTTCCTAAATGCCCCGAAAGGAAAAAAGATGTGGATCAACGCAAATTGTCGAGGGGACGAATGGTTTCCTACCAAAAATAGTGTACTATGCTCAAAACACTTTACAGAAGACAATCTTCATAATATTATGAAAAACCGTATAAAGCTGTTGGATTCTTGCCAGTTTTGGTATGGACTTTTGCATTTTTTTTAAAGATTAGTACTAACGTAGATTACACAATAATATCATTAAGTGGTTGAGAGAAACATGATATTCTTATATTTAGGTAAATGTTACACGTTGAAATCAAGCTATTTTGAACGGATTTATAAATCATAAAACTTGTAAAAGTTATAATGTGATTATTGTTTTGACTTAGTATTTAGTGTTACATGAACTTCAGTATTATCTTATTATAATTATTAAGTACATCTAAATTTGGAAGACATGCCGTATGGTGTATTAATTAATAATACTATATCGGTAATGTTTTAAAAGAAACGAATATGTATTTCTGATTTAGATTACTGGTTCACCGCTGAAAGACGCGAAAAACCCGCCAACACCTAAAAATCAGAGTCATTGCTTAGAAATGCCTACAAAACAAAAAAGAAAATTTTCTCCTATACCTGATACACCATCTGCATTTGATACTCCAGTTAAAAACGTCTTTGTAGAAGAATCATCGAATTAACCAAAGTAATGAACAAAAAAGATAAAAAAGTTTTATGTACGCAAAACATTTAATACTTCTTTCTTAAACTATACTACTACCTTCTGTAAAAACACTAGGAAAGTTTGTAGTTTTAACACAATCAATTAAGCTTAATTATAAATAATAATAATAATAATATATACAATAAAAAAATATAAATAAATAAGCATAATTAAACAAATAAATAAGCAGTTTTGTTAATGAGGATATTTTTCATGAAATAAAAAAAAACACCAATTCGATCACGAAGGTTGTAATCATGTCATTGATTTAGCTAAGAGTGTTATGGAAAAATACATAGACATACTTGTAAGATTACTCTACTCATCCAGGAAGACAGATCCTAAGAATTCTGTGAGACAATTTTATACTAAGATTATCCATTTTAAAAATCAGTCAAATATATATTTATAAATTAAATGTACAAATATATGTATACAATGTTTAATTTTTTAATAAACATCAAATAAAAATTGATCAATATATTTATTTATCATTATCAATAATCAATAAATCCCAAATTTATCGATCAACGTCCCAACCCTGTTCCATCACTATGGTTTGGTACATTCTAAGTTTGACCTTTAAATATCCAATCACAGCGCATTTGCCACGTCCCCCGCAAACCTTGCATAGGGCCAAATTTGGTGAACTCGAAACAGAACAAATATTCAACGATGCGGTATCTATTAGGGGGTAATCTGTGTCGCTGGGGCTCTCCCAACTGGTACAACAAGCGACTAGGGTATCTGATATGGATGGACACAGCCAATTGCCTGGACCTTCTGCTGACAACCGATCCAGACAGGTACATTGTTAAGGTTACCACCTCACCCTTGGGAACTTCTAACCACTATCTGGTGAAATTTGTGTCATTATATTCCTCATCTAACTACAATTTCCACAGTGTGCGGCGAGTGTGGCGATACAAGTCAGCAGATTCGGATAAGATGCGGTATTTCTTTGCATCTTATCCTTGGCGACAGGTCTACCTCTCCTCTGAAGACCCGTCGAGCTGTGCGGATGCCATAACCAATGTGATACGTTAAGCGATGAAGTATTTCATCCCCTTTACTGACGTGCCCATTGGTGGTAAAGCTCGCCCATGGTTTAACGCTGAGTGTACTCGTGCTGATAAGCACAAGCATATGACGTACTTATCCTGGCTCGATGCTCGAGACCGCAAAGCTCCGGATGTTAGCCTTAAGAAGAGAGCCTTTAACCAAGCCGCCAAGTCCTGCAAAAAGGCATTACAGTATGCCAGTTTCGACCGCGTTATATGAATCTGTACAAAGCTCTCTGTCAAACCATTTAGCAGTAGAGCTTTTTGGTTTCTTGCCAAAGCGGTCGAGACAAACTTCTGTCGATCTACCCTGCCTCCGCTGATAAAACCATATGGCTCACTGGCGCAAGCGCCTTAGGAGAAAGCGGAGTTATTTGCTTCTCTTTTTGCTTGCAATTCACGTCTGGACAGTAGCAACAGCGTACCATCTCAATTACCTCACTGCGGTACCTCTATGTCAGAGATCCGTATCACCAAAAGGTTCTTAAAACCTTGCGAAGTGTAGACGTGAACAAAACTAGTGGACCTGATGGTATACCAGCTATAGTTCTAAAGGTCTGCGGACCTGAGTTGTCTCCTGTGTTAACGGCCATGTTCCGCCTCTCATTCAGGACTGGAATAGTGCCCAAATCTTTGAAGCAGGCAAATGTGCAGCCTGTGCTTAAAAAAGATAGCCGTACCGACCCTGCCAACTATCGGCCAATTTCAATTACCTCCATTCTCTGCAAGATTATGGAGCGTATATTGAACGCCCACCTCATGGCATAACTAGACCGGAATGATCTTTTCAATGACCGCCAGTACTGGTTTCGCCGAAACAGATCAACCTTTTAGCGTATGCCAGTCATGTGAGTTCGAAGCCCTCGAGAACAGTGGTGAAGCACTTGCTGTTTCCCTCGATGTTTCGAAGGCTTTCGACAAGGTTTGGCACGCTAGTCTATTGAGCAAACTTTCAGCGTACGGCTTACTGGCTGATTGACAGGGTGAAGGACTTTCTGAGTGATCGACTTCTCCGAGTTGTCATCGATGACTGCTCGTCCTGTCCTATCGCGACAAACGCCGGAGTTCCTCAGGGGTCCGTTCTCTCCGCAACTCTGTTCCTGCTGTATATAAATGATTTACTCATTCCATGCATCTATGGGTATGCAGACGACAGCACAGATGTGGAGAGATACCAACCAAGTGCTCGGGCCAGTCGAGATCAAATCCAGTCCGAACGAAAGGCTATGGTTGAGCGTGTGAATCTCACACTACGGGCAGTGTCCGAATGGGTACACTGACCGCCTTCAGATGTTAGGGGTTGAATTTTCTCCGAACCTCAACTTTGGGCGGTTCATTGAGTCCAGAACCAAGGCAGCCGCAAGGAAACTTGGTATCCTTGCAGGGTGCGGCGGTACTTCACGCCGGGGCAGCTTCTTACCTAATATAAAGCGCAAGTCCGGTCGTGCATGGAGTACTGCTGTCACATATGGGCTGGTGCTGCAAAATGCCACCTGGCAGCGTTGAACTCCGTGGAGAGACGTGCTAAGAGGCTCATTGGTGACCTTCATTTGGTTGAAACCAATCTTGTCAGCCTCGAACAAAGGCGCAGAAGTAGCCAGTCTCTTGGTATTCTATAGGATGCATTTCGGTAAGTGTGCGCAGGAATTACACGCTTTAATTCCTCCCTCTCCTTTCCACCATCGGACAACCAGGCGGTCGGAGGGCCTTCACCCCTGTGTTGTCGATATTCCACGCATTAGAACCAAACGGTTTGCTTCGTCTTTTGTAATGCGTACAACAAAGAAGTGGAATAACTTGCCGGCGTCTATCTCTCCGTCCGAATACAATCTGGGCGTCTTCAAGCCAAGAATGAATAGGCTTTTGTTACGCTAAGACAGTGCGATTTACCATCTAGGCCTGCATCACCACTTACCACCAAGTGAGATTGTGGTCAAGCACTGCCTTATATTAAGTAAAAAAACTATATTCTTAAAAAAAGAACTTACTTGGAATGGTTCGTAGAATAGATCTTCAACGCCTTTCTTTAGCCCAATGACTAGTCCATATGGGTTACCAATGACGTCCAATCCGAGCACCAAAACATACAATTGTTTTAAAGCTTGGCCTGTGTAATGACTTTGTACTTGGTTTATCAACTCTTTCTGCGACAAGAATTCGTAATTTCTTTCATAGTATGACAGCCTAAAAGCAAGAAAATGAAATTAAGAACATTTTACAATATTATAACAATGTGAAATATTGCCAATAATTTACTAACTTAAATACAACATCGTTCATATCCGTTAATGTGACGCCAATACTTTGTAGGATCGTTCCTACGAAAGTGGGCAGTTGAGTGGTACCGCCGAGTGAAAATGAAACGTGAACCTGAAATAAATGTTATTTTGTTTTAAAATGCACAAAAACTCCGTCTCCCAATTCAGTCATTTTTACGGACGTCTCAATACAAATGCATATTACAATAAAATTTACATAAGCATTACCTTAAGTGGTGATAAATGTAAGTTGTCATAGAAATTCTTTTGATCGGACGCTGCACCCAATGCGGCGAGTGCTTCTAACGGTTGAGCAGCTCTTTCTAAGTCCAACTGGAACGCTTCCAGCTATGAAAATTAGGAAATATTATATTAAATATTTTAATCAGCTACTAAACTCTTACAAAATATCAGGGTAAAATAACAATATAATGCTGTGGTATTTAGTGCGGAGAATGACGTGAACCTACATACGCTCATCGGAATTTTTTTTCTGTCACTGAGACCGAGATTATAGGAAACACTGTATACTGTATTCTATCTCATTCTCTCGCAGGCTAAATCTTATAAATATACATATATGTTTGCCTCTTTTTAGTGAAACTTTTTCGTTTCATCGAGTTTCAAATCACAACGATTCTAAAGATTTCACTTCAAAAAGAGCAATGGCAGAAAAATAGTTGACAAAAATTATCGCGTCTAGAAATAAGTTATATATGAAATGAGTTTTATTATTTTTCTATGATTTTTCAAATAAAAATGTATTTTAATTAAAGCCACAGAAAAAGCAAACATTTTTGGGAATATCAAATGACTTAAATCATTTTACTCTGTTCAAGTGTTGCCATTTAGTATATTCGTACTATTTTCGTATATACTTTGTAAGACTACCAACACAACAAACAAGATATTTTTATATTAAGTTATTATTAGTAATAACTGTACTATCAGTAATAATAAAAATAAAAGAGATATGGCTGAGAATAAGTCTCTTACAAAGAATGTCCTACAATAATACATTATCTCAATAAATAGTACTATGTAACAATTCCATTTAATGTTATGCCAACACGTTTTTTTACTGGCTTTACGGCTCTGGGTTCTAGCCCTTCTGAGAATGTCACTATGATACAAAGGCCAGTCATGCCAGAAATATACATTTATAGTATGCAAATATATAATAGATATACAATAATCTAAAAACTCTCAATTATGTATTATGTATTAAGCTAACATCAAACAATCACTGGAAGCATGACTTTTTCCAAGGACATAATCTAAAAAGGTTCAAAGGTAAATATCTTTTTTTTGACGCCTTCTCAGGACAAAATTCTTTGACAGAGTTATTAAGAGAGTGACGCTTAACATTTTAAGATATTTTTGATATATAGACGCTACCATTTCTTCTCAACTAATGTTATGTATGAAAGTCTGCCATTGCTCTTTAATTAGCGAGTATGGATTAACGAGAGGCGTGACGGAGAGCGGCTGGAGAGCGCTAGGCCGTGGCCCGCTTCTCACAAAAGCGTCATAATGCATACTCAGCAAATACATCAGCATACAATGTATCCTTACATAGCAATCCCTGCGTCACTTACTATTTCACATTAATATATATTTTTGCGATGAAAAATGCTTTTTTTTTATAGGATATGGGTGACAAGCGAACACACAGTCCACCTGATGGTAAGTGGTTGCTGTGGCCCATAGACATCTACATTTTTCCTCGTTTGCGAATAAAATGGAGATGCGTTGTCAGCCGTGAGGACTAAGATGGGATGCCTCATTTCCAGTGAAAAGGATCTCCGATTCTCTACAATCGCCATGCGGAACACAGCAGCGTTAAGCTGCTATTTTACGCTGGTATTATGTGAGAGCGTGGTCCTTCCCCGGCCGAGCCGACCCGTTCGTGCTAGAACTATACTATTAATCTACCACGTAAACCACTTTCCTCTCTTATCATGTGGTGTAAGTATCGCTAATATGTAGCGTTAAATTAAAATCCATGGGTTTCATGCTGCAATGCATAAACCCGGAAAGTTATTCGATTTAACAATATATATTTTGCGAAACTCGGCATAAATTTTGGTACGTCAAATTTTTTTAATTATTATATTGCCTACAACCAACGGATAGAACTAATAGACTTATCAACTACGCCTATTAAAAACAGTACAGTTTTGAAAACTGGATCTTGAGTTGCCTATTTTTGATTTCTTTGATATTATCCATGGCGGTGTATATGGGCCACAGCATCCACTTAACATCAGGAGGACCTGTTTGACTTGTGGTCTGTTACCCATAACTTTTAGTTTAAGATTTATATGTTATCATATTATATGTAATATTGTCTTACTATATGTATTATCATTGTTACAATTGGTTGCGCTCGATGTGAGAATGATATATTAAATAAATTACAAAAATAATAATGATTTTAAATTACATAACGTCTGCAATGGTTTAGATCCTATATTTAAGTAAAATAAAATAACGTACAAGCAGTTTTAAGTAATTACTCACCGCTTCTTGTTCAGTGAGAAGCTTTTGTGGGAACATGCCCATAAGTGCATTGATAAGCCCCATATCAACCTTTACATGGAACTCTTGGATCAGGACCTTGTAGTATCTGTACTGGCGGACCTTACTGTGCTCCATGATACGCTCCACTATCGACACCTCGATGAATGGCTTCATACCTGTTAATACAAATTATTAACAGATTATAATATATAGGGAAAGCTAGAAGTTATGGCTAATACTTTAGAGTTACTATTGCACATCAATATATCAGAAACCTGTAAGGTGTTTTTTTAAGTTAAAGAACTTTTTACAAAGTTAACAGATACTATATCATTTTACTATCTTGAAACTAGTCATTTACACATTAATTTTAGAGTCATTTTTATAACATTTGTTGGCATAACATTAACTATTGGCACGGCCGGTGTATAGAGCATCACCAGTGCTGTCATCCGCATAGCAATGAATGCTACCGGCTTGCAACATATCATTGATATGCAGAAGAAACAGCGTTGGTGATAGCACGCAGCCTTGTGGAACACCAGCGTTAATAGGCTTGTAGTCGGAGCATGCACCGTCTACAACGACCTTGATGCTCCGATCTGCAAGAAAGCTGGTGATCCAATTGCATAATTTCTCGGGAAGCCCATAGGAAGGGAGCTTCGAAAGAAGCGCTTTGTGCCAAACCCGATCGAAGGCCTTCGCAATGTCCAAACTAACGGCCAATGCCTCCCCCTTGGACTCTACTGCCTCCGCCCATCTATGAGTTAAGTAGACCAGAAGATCACCAGCTGATCGACCCCGACGAAAACCGTACTGGTGGTCACTAATCAGCTGGTGATCCTCAAGGTACCGCATGAGGTGGCAGTTTATAACGGATTCCATTATTTTGGAGAACAAGGGGGTGATGGCGATAGGCCTGTAGTTGGACGGGTCTGAGCGGTCGCCTTTTTTAGGGATCGGGTGGACAAAAGCTGTCTTCCATGATTTCGGGACTACGCCTAGGGAGTAGGAGTACCGGAAAAGACGCGTTAGAACCGGTGCCAACTCCGGAGCACACGTCCTCAGCACAATTGGGGGGATTCCGTCAGACCCACTCGACTTGTGGATGTCAAGGGAGAGGAGTGCTCTGCGAACCGAACGCTGTGAGAACCGCACATCCGGCATGGAGCACTCACACCGCGGGATGGTCGGCGGTGTGTTCCCCCCGTCATCAACAGTCGAGTTCGACGCAAAAAGGGAGCCTAAAAGGTCGGCCTTCTCTTTTGCGTCGTGGGCCAGTGAGTCGTCCTCCCTGTGCAGAGATGGTAGTGATGGCTTACAGAAATTCCCTTGGACAGCCTTGGCGAGAGACCAGAATGCACGGGTTCCCGAAGGAAGGCGAACTAGTTTCTCGCCAATTCTGCCTATGTGCTCTGACTTTGCCTTGGCAATAACTCTTTTGAAGGACCTGGAGGCGAAGTTATACTTCTTTTTAAGTATGCTGGTGTTTACATCCCGAGTCGCCGAAGCCGCAGCCCAGGCTTGATAACACTCCTGTTTACTGCGTAAAGCAGTCTTACAGGAGCGACCAAACCAAGGCTGAGATCTGCCTCCGATGGGTACCACAGATGATGGAATAAATAGTTCCATTCCCTGTAGCGCCACATCAGTGACAGAGTCAGCAACAGCGCTGGGATCATCCGACAAGAAGCAAACCCGCCCCCATGGGTAGGAAGCAAAGAAAGACCGCATTCCGTCCCAATCCGCCGACCTGTAATGCCAAACACGGCGGCAACCTGCAGAACGCAACCGCGAGGGGAGCGTGAGTGGCACCACACTCCGGATCAGACAATGGTCCGAAGAGCCAAGAGGGGCATCGACAGAAACCTGATATCCGTCCGGATGAGAGGTCAGCAGAAGGTCCAACAGGGAAGGTGTATGATCCTCAACATCTGGAATCCGCGTAGGCGATGTAACCAGTTGTGTCAGACCATATGCCAAGGCAAAGTCATAAACAGATCTCCCCGCATGATCGGTTAAACGTGAACCGAGCCATTCGGCGTGGTGGGCGTTAAAATCACCAAGGATCACGATCTCTGCGGATGGGACCTGTTGTAGCAAGTAATCTGTAGCCATTTGGACGTGGTCAATAAGTCGGTCTGTTTCGGCATTACCGCTATGGGACCTATAGAGGCACCCGTAGACGCGCGGATGGTCGTCGCTGTCTACGCGTAGCCAAAGGATGGACAGGTCCGAACCTTCAAGACTACCGAGGCGTCGAGAACCGATGTCCTCTCTGACATACACGCAAACTCCAGCCCGAGGCACAAAGGAGTGCTCCAATATTATCCCGGGCAGGAGAGATACGAAGTATCAGCCGGAGAGGACACCTGCGTCTCGGTCAGAAAGAGCAAGGCCGGCTTCGCCGTCTCAAGATGGTAGTGGACGGCGTTTAGGTTCGAGTGAAGTCCCCTGATGTTGCAGAAATTTACGGATAGCGTGGCAGAGGTCGCCTTGGTCTTGTTGCTCAGTTTGCCCCGAGTAGTTATTGTGTTGAGCGGAATTTTGCCCCCCCCCCCCCCCCCCCCCCCCAGAATACGCGGGGCAGCCTGAGCACCCACGCTCAGGAGTGGAATAGCATGGTCGTCGATGCTCAGCGAGGGATTCTCCAGGGGTACTGGTACCCTCCTGGGGTAGTTTATGACGTAATTCCGCTACCATGTTGATGGGGGGGGGGGGGGGGGGGGAATTGGGCCTCCGGTCACCTGCACTCACCAGACGAAACGCGGAAGTAGAGCTTCCACTTCACGCCGGTATTCTGTGAGGTCGTGGTACTAACCCGCCTCGAGCCGGCCCATACGTGCAACAGCAAAAACTGCTGCGTGGCTCTACCACAGTTAATATTTCTCGGGAAAACGTCACCGAGTACCGGAACAAACTTGTGTCTGAAGTAGAGTCTTTGCTGGACAAAGTCTCGGATTGGGGGCGACTAAATCTAGTCCAGTTTAATCCTCAGAAGACACAAGTTTGCGCGTTTACCGCTAAAAAGAACCCCTTTGTCGTATCTCCTCAGTTTCAAGGTACTCCCCTTGTTGCCCAGACAATATCGGAATCCTCGGCGTCGACATATCGAGTAATGTGCAGTTTCGTGGTCACTTGGAAGAGAAGGCCAAATTGGCCTCTAAAAAGCTTGGCGTGCTCAGTAGAGCGGGACAGTATTTCATGCCGGCTCAACGCCTGCAACTTTACAAGGCGCAGGTTCGGCCTCACATGGAATACTGTTCCCATCTCTGGGCTGGGGCTCCCCAGTGCCAGCTCCTTCCACTTGACCGCATCCAGCGCAGAGCGGCTCGAATCGTCGACGACCGAGTCCTTTCCGATCGGCTCGACTCATTGGCACTGCGAAGAGATGTTGCATCTCTTAGCATTTTCTTTCGCATTTACCATGGGGAGTGCTCTGAGGAATTGTTCGGATTAATCCCAGCCGCCAAATTTCACGAACACACATCGCGGCAGAACTCCCGATACCATCCACACCATCTGGATGATTGGCGGTCCACCACTGTGCGATTTAGAAGATGTTTTCTTCCTCGCACAACTTCCTTGTGGAATAGCTTACCACCAGCGATTTTTCCGGACCGATACGACTTAGGGACCTTCAAGAAAAGAGCCTACTCCTTTTTAAAAGGCCGGCAACGCATCTGCAATTCCCCTGGTGTTGCGGTTGTTCATGGGCGGCGGTAGTCACTTACCATCAGGTGAGCCGCATGCTCGTTTGCCCCCTCTCCTATAAAAAAAAAACTGGTCATATTGAGTGTTAGGACAAAAATATTAGGGTATTGCGGGTAGAACTTATTTGCATGAAGCAAATATTTATCAAATCTCTGTTAAGTAAGATTGAGTGCCACACTACGAGGACGTTGCAACGCCGCGACGCTGTTGGCAAACGTTTGAGCACGCAACAAACATTGTCTATAGCCCTGATGTCGCACTGCATCATCCCTTCCCGCTTCATTTCTCTGCTCCCCTAGCCCTTTGCGCGCAAGGAATATTAAAAAGAGGAAACGCTAATTGGGCAGGGTACACATGCCACAAATAGGCGCAGCACTGCCTAAGACTGTTGCATGTTTTTATTGACATGAGGTTATATGTCGCTACTTCATACATAAATGAATATACAGTCCAATAAATTTCTTTAAGTCACTAATTTTATTTTCATATTTTAATAACGATTGAATCATCAGGTTATTTTGTATTATTAAGTCATGTAGTTGTTCGAGTTCCCGGTAATTTACTGCAAAGTCTACTTAAAACCGATCGGAATTCTGCTTATAATGGCATTAAGTAAAGTCGAATAACGGAATATATTCGACAATGTTCGAATCTTCTTGAATTAAAGTCATAATGCTCTTTGTGTGAACTTATGGTGCATTTTCAAATGATCACGGCATTACTTTGACATCTCACGTTAATTAGCTGAATTAGTTCGTCAATCCTGGAAATTTTATAAAAATAAACTATTGTTAAATCCAACAGAAGGAAATTAAATAACTAAACAAAACAAAATTAAACTACTATTTACATTCCATGGCTTCCCACATGATAGATGAAGAGATTAAAAATAGATTGTGTTAAACAAATATATTAATATTTTCAAAAGTTATCGTGTTTACGGACTTGATAATTCTACACCATAAGCCACTAAAACCACTTTTTTATGTAAAAATCATTTATCTTTCTGACAATGTGCCTTTTATATCATTTATATGTTCAATAATTGTTAGATATGATTTCATGAGATAAAACGTTGAAATCTTGATTTTTAGACGTTAGTAGAACATACCTATCCGTTTTGCGTTAGAGGCATGCAATGATCCTTTTTTATATACCTTATGGTTTGTACTAATGCTAATGAATGTTTTTAAAAAATGAGTTTGGCGGTACTGGTTCTAGTATAAGTACGCGCTTTGTCTCTTTTTATAGAAATAGGGTGACAAACGAGCACATAGTCCATGTGACAGTAAGCGGATGTCGTGTCCTATAGTCATCCATATCTGGAATGCGTTGTTTTTGCGGGTATTCTGTGATAGTGTGATTCTTGCCAGCTGACCTATTCGTGTTATAGTAGAGTATGATGTAGTAGAACCACTTGCAGCAGTAGTTCTACCATGTAGATAGTCAATTCTTTGTGTTTTTAATATTTCGTGGTTGCGTTTATTTTTTGTCGATCTGCGTGATGTCGCACGAACCGTGTGACATGTTATTGGTATGGTAGAATGATGTACCTTCCTCGCTCAGGCGCCGTTCTAAATCAATGAGGGCTAATAATGTTACTTTAATTAGATGTCGTTGGTTGGGACTGAAGTGAGTTTTATTTATTACGGAAATGGTCATAGTGTTTACCATTGAAAAGCTCATCATAGAAAAGTTGCGTTTTAAATGAAAGTATTTCGGTTTCTAGTTTATCCGTTTACACAAAACAAGACCTCAGTGGCGTGTTCTTTAATTTTTTAATTTTTATGCTTCTAGAGGTATTATGTAGTTTGGGGTTTATCGATTTCTAATTAAATTAATATGAAAACATAAAAAATATATAATTTTTTTTTAACTAAAATATCTAATTTAACTTCCCTTGCCATGGAATGTGTCAAATATAATATTTAATAGTGTTGTGGCGGCGGGCTGGTGGCAGCGCGTGGTGGGGTGGGTACCGTTGGGCTGGTCGTGCGCGACGGACTTGGGCGGCGGCACGGGCGCCAGCACGACGGGGAAGGTGGGCAGCGGCAGCTGCTGGTCCAGCTGCAGGCGGTGCAGGCGCGCGTGCAGGCGGCGCGAGTGCGCGGACAGGCCCAGGCTGGCCCACACGCCCGGCTCGGCCGTGCGCCGCAGCAGCCGCGCCGCCGGCCGCAGCAGCCGCATCTCCTCCAGGTCCACCTGCGCAAAACTCAACAATTACCAACTCTTTAGACCAAAACTTTTCTACAAAAATACTTTTTTTAAATAAATTAAATTATCCTTTATATTAATTTGTTTAAAACACTCCTTCCCAATATGTTTGTGTTACATTGTGAAATTTTAAGGAGATTTTGGCGGCAACTTAAACCAACAGTCGATAAAAATAACATCTTAAGTCGCCAAAGCAGACATTATCTTTAAGGCCTTAACAGTGGTTGAAATGCTTAAATCTAGGATATTTAAGTAAAAAAATCTCAATAACTGTTCATTTAATCCACAAAAAAAAATACAAGGTAACAGAAGAAGATTTGGTAAATGTTTTTAATTTAACAAAATTGTATTTTTGTCAACCCCTTATTAGAAAAAAAATCCCCAAAGAGCACCTATCTTTGTCATATTTTGCAAAATTTCTCCAAAACGGCACAAGCTTTTTAAATAGTTCTTACACTAAAAAAAAGGTCTTAAAAATATCAATATTTTTAATTGAGAGTTTTATTTTTATTACCCGTTTTATAAGAGAATATATCATTTTTCCCTGAAATTGAATATATTTACGCGAGCGCGCATGCTCCGTCGCCATGTAAGCTCTGTCACAGTCCGTTTTCGGACATCGTCGAGGGTGGACCACACGTCGGTGTTGGAGCGACTTCGTTCAAATATATATTAGTTTTTTAAAAGTTTATACTCAATTATAAATATTTTTATGACTAGAAATACTTAATTTAGTTAATATCTGTACACTGGTACCTGTAAATATTATTTTCTAAATAAATGAATTTTTAAAGTGCCCAAAGAAGAAGAAATTTTTGCGGCGACGTTGATTAGTGAAATTGAAAAATGCATTTTTATATAATTTAGATGTGGAACGACGAACATGCTCTCGTTACTTAGATTTCGATAGTTTTTAATACCCATGTAATTTTATTGTTGCATATTTTTATTAATTATTTGATAATGAATTTTATAATTATGTATTACAATAAAACGCTGTTTTTATAAGTATGACTTTATAAAATATTATTGGGGAGAGAAATAAAGATACACATTTAGGTACACTGTTATCAAATTAAATCAAACAATTTAAATAAATAAAAGAATAAAATAAAATAAAATAAAATGTTAATGTTATGCTTACCTAAGTATAAATAACTATATAATGATATTCTTGGGTTTATGGTTTTTTTTTTATGTTAGACAAACTATCATCTAAAAAATGTAAAAAATTTAAATTGGAGAGGGGTTTCTCTACGTGATAAAGTTAGAAATGAAGGTATTTGCATTAGAATCAGAGTAATTGACATAGCTCAACGGAATATTACAGTGAAATGGCAATGGGCTAGCTATATAACTTGGAAAACATATAAAAAATAGGAAGAAAGGTCCTCGAGTGGCAACCTCGTACAGGTAAGCGAATTAGTACTCAACTTTTATTCCTCTTCACGTATTCTCATACACTTTTCTTCACACACACACACACACACACACACACACACACACACACACACACACACACACACACAAACGCACATGCGCGCAAGCACTCACGCGCGCACACACACACACACACACACACACACACAAATAGGTCGCAAATAATACTTACCTAGTACTATTAGGCAAGAGTGAATAGGTTTTTGTTAAGTCAGTGCAATTCACCATCTTAGACTACATAACCACTTACCGATGGAATTGTAGTTGCTTTACTACTTGCTGGGTAAAATAGTAAAAAAAAAATTACCCTGTGAAAGTTTGCATTTAGATATAATTTTTCTAACCAACCATAAAAATATGATGAGAATATGTATATAAGTATAAAGGTTGCCTCACACGGAACAGTAATAATATAATATTATATCTTCCATTATCTCTGAAATCCGAGGTATGTTCATATTAAGAGGCTGAATAGAGCCACATTGAAATGCATGGGGATCGTTTTGTAATTTCACGTCATTATCGAAAAAAAATTTGTACGTATTTTAGGTGGCGGTTTGCAAAACACGATTCCACAAAAATTAACTCAATAACAAATAATTGCAAAGTTGCTTCTAAAAATAATTTTAAATTTTCAACGTCAATTTTTTTACGTGGTTGCTACAGCTATATTTATTAGGTATAGTTGTAACACGAATGGGTCGGCTCGATCGGGGAAGGGCCACGCTCTCACGGAATAACATGTAAAATAGCAGTTTAACCCTGCTGTGTTTCGTATGGTGAGTGTAGAAAACCGGAGAACCTTTTTACTGGAAACGAGGCATTACATCTTAGTCCTCACGGGTGACAACGCATCTACATTTTGATACGTAATCGAAGTATTGTAAGCACTCGTACAATTATGTCTCATGTTAATAAAGCTATTGGGCTATTTTGATTTGTAATAAAGTGATTTTACTTTATAGGTTAAATAATTTATTTACCTTTCTATATCAAGAACCGTTTTCCTGTCACTCCTATTGAATTTGACAGTGCTTGCTGAAATTTAGCATCTATAGATGGATCAGAATCGCCCGCTGATCCGGCTGATAGATATAGCAAAAATAATCGAAAATATTTATTTTTACTTTTATGCCCAAGACTACCTTGTTTTATTTTATTACGGTCAAATAATATTTATTAGGTTATAAAGCAAGTATTTTTGTAAATGTTTTGTATGTAAATGTAAATGTTTTCATTATTTTGTTATTCTATTGTTTACAGTTATTATCACGTCTTAGCTTTACACCAAGAATTACATTAGAAATTCTTGATGGGATGCGATGTAACGCGCATACATTATTTTTATCAAGAACTATAATATATATTTTTTATATATATTTGTTTTTTTTACCAGTAGAGTTTCAACAAAATCTTAAAAAAGTTCAATGAATTAAAAAAATGCTAATAATTATATAATTTCAAGTCAGTGTTTTACATTTAAATATCAGTTATAAAGAGCCAATGTTATTATTTTCATTTTGATTAATTTAATTCGAGACTAAAATAAATGTGAAAGGGCTTTTATCTGCAATAATAATTTTCATCAAAAATAACATAGACTTATAAAAGTCATATACACGGTCAATCATACTGAAGATTATCAATTGTACTACAAAATATTTAAAAGACTATTTCCAGTATAATGACATATCATCATTAATGTTTGACTGGCACACTTAAAAGTTTTATCACATGGCTAAATGATTGACTTTTATATTATGATAAGGTCATGCTTTTCTATAAAAAGTTGCAAGAAATTTTAATTCCCGGCCCTATTGGTTTGTTTTACTTTTTACTTAATTAGTGAAAAACAAAATGGACTGATCTAAAAGTTTACTTTCTTGTGTAAAAAGTGCTATTTAGAATTTTATGCAAATGATAATTAAAGTTTCTATGTAAATAAGCGTAACATAGCGGGTATTATATTCAATGGTAGCGGCCATCCGTATTGGCAAAGCCAGAATCATTTTCTGTACAGAAACCGGCAAAGTGTTGCTCAAGGCACTATAAACAAAGTAGCTGATAAAATGTTACACTCATAACTGTTAACAAAAACTGTTTTCGCAAATGGTCTTATAGATAATAATAACTATTCCGCCGTGTTATGTGCAGGAGCTATTATTAGAAGGAGAAGAGGTAAAATTTTGTTTTAGAAATGCGCAATCAATATTGTTTTGTCTGCAATTGAGCATAAAATAAAAAATAACTTCAGCCAAAGAGAATAACTGGCATTATATTCAGGCCCATCAATTGGTATGGAAAAAAATAATTTTACCAGGTCTCAAAAAATCAATCAAAATTCAAAAAACATAAATATTAAAATCAAAAAATGTATATATGTATGTCTATACATACATATAATGATTTATGGCCGCTTAGTAACTGACGGTGACTCACTATAACATCCTACAGTCACGTCGAAACTAAGAGGAGAGAATCACTGTAGAAAAGGTAATAATTTATTCCGGAAATTTTGTGATAAAATTAAAAAAAATATAAACTTATCCAAGTTAATCTAACTTAGTCTAACTTATCCTTATGCGTACAAAAAAAAACAAATAATAAAATAGTGAGATGGCGTCAGTTTTTAAGAAGATATAACAAAAATAAACAAAAAAATAAATTTCAATAAAGTTCAGTATGTAATTGATTATATACCGCTGACACTTAATCATGCTTTTCGAAACCACGCCAGTTGTAAACAATACTTGTGTGAAAAGACAAAATTTCTTTTCAAATTTCCGCCGAGTTGTAAGTAGAAGGCCGAATAGGTCACGTGTCAATTTTAATTAAATATATTTTATATGAAGTGATCTTGACTACGTTTCATCAATTAACCATCGGTAAAAATTAAAACAGGAATTTTACGATTGTGTTTACAAAAAACATTATTAGTTGAACCTTGCAGCTTGTTCATTATTTTTATTATAAATACCTATAAATGTATATATTATTAATAAATAGTTCCTATAATATATTGGATTATTTTTTATTTTGCTCTATCTGCAATGTTCTACGCTCTATAGAAAATGTGGCGTATGACATGACTGACAATCTTTCGAACGTTTTATCTAGATACAAAGATGTTTTACGTTTTCGTGCCCTCCACATGATATTTTTGTCAGCATAAGGTAACCTTCTATATCTGAAACGAATATAAATATTGCTACAAAGTAAAGTAATAGGCTATACATGTCCCTCTACTGGGCACAGGACTCTTTTTTTATTTCTGAGAGGGTTTTAGGGCAAGGAAATGCCCGCCGTGCTTCCCCAATGCGTGTTGACGAAAATTGCAATTACAAATTTCATTCGTGCTGTCGGGGATCAAACCCGGGAAAATTTACAGCGAACGCTTTGACGACATATATTTAATACGACACAAATAAATACGATTTAACATATATAATAAAAGTTCTTACGTGCTTGAAACTTGAACACTTGATAGCTCGTGATGCCTACCGGACAAAGCTACAGCCCCACACCGTACAATGTAATTGGAGATGCGT